GAATCAAGATTATATTCAGAATCAAGATCATATTCAGATTCAAGATCATAATTAGAATCAAGATTATATTTAAAATCAAAATTGATAAGCAAAAAAACTACTTTTTGAAATTCTTAAAAGCTAAAATGAAAATCTAAACTTAAAAATATTTTGAATCTAAAAAAAATATTTAAATATATTCAAAATCCAAAACAAAGAATAAAGAAACTATACTATTTTAAAATTTCTAAAACTGATCAAAAACTAAAGCTAACCTAAAAAAAAAATATTATACTTAATTAAACATAAATCAAATAAAAGCTTATGTGCTTATAACCAAAAAAAAACTATCTGGCCAAAAACAAAACCAAAAATTATATTAAAATGCCTTTAATTAATTTTAATTCAGTTTTGATACTAATTATTTAGTAGCAATTACTATCAATTGATTCAATTAGCAACCTGTTTAAAAATTTCTTGATAAAAGTAAAAAAAAAGTATAAATACAAAAAATTAAAATACAAAATTAAATTAATTTTTTTCAGTACAAGATAGTGGTCTGCAATATAAACAATATAAATTAAAAATTTTATAAATTGTCTAAAAAATATTTTCTAGTTTTATTATATAACAATTCTGTAGCTAAAATAACTGAAAAACAAAAAATAATTGTTCAACAACTAAAGCACTTATACATAGAAAGAAAAAAACTCAAATCAAGTGTAGATATTTAAAATCTAATTTATAAATATTTGGCTATATATCTAAATTTTATAAGTCTACTAAACTTCTCAAGAAAACAGAAAAGAACCAAGTTTTACTGATTCTAATTGGCAAAGCTTATAAATTAAACACAGCAAGAGCAAACTCTCTACCAAATATCTTCAAAGTAGATAAAGCAGTAAAAGTTAGTTCTCTATATAAGCAAAAGTATTTCAATATTTGTTTTGCTTTAATTGTAAACTTTATAATCTAAGTCAAGTCAAAAACTATATTGAGTTACATGGTTATATTTCACTTAATAACCCTATTAATTACCTATTTATAAAATATAATATCAATTAAACTAATTTATTTAGATTATAATTTTTTACTATTTAAATATTATACAATCAAATTCTTTACAACATGAAGAGTATGCAAAATATATTTCTATAAAAAGATGCTAAATCAAATTATGCTACAAAATTATGAATCTACAACTTTTATTTTTGCAAAAAATATTTAAAGAAATCACACAATTTTCACATTTTTTTGCAAACTGCAATAAATTAGTTGGCAATAGATTGACAGAAAGAATGTTAATCGATAAGCAGCACCTCTGCCGATTACTAGTGATACTAATTAGAATCGATTGATAACAAAGCTGCTAATTAAATCAATTAGAATCACTTTGATTAATATCAAAATTAAATTAAAATCAATTATTTTTTAATCAACTATGCATCGATTAGCTACCAATATTAATTATTGTTGATTTTCCTAATTGATGACAATCGCCTCTGCAGCTAGTAATCGATATATACCCTATTTAAAATTTCCTGATGTTTATATATAATTGTATAAATTTTTAATGAGCATAGTGGAGGACTCAATCTCTACGTAAGTGAGACAAACATTAAGTTTTTGATGCATTTTTATTATAAAAACATACTTTTTTGATACATCTACAAAACAGTAATTTAAAAAATTTTTGTTTATCCGCATGCATTTATAATCTTATACTTAATTGTAATAATAAAGGCATGCCAGTACATAGCATGCATTGTTAATTATATGGGCTCTTGACATACTGCATTATGCATTATTTAGTACTAAATAATAAAATAAATATTATCATTTTAAATGCTTCATCGCTTTAAAAATATTTCATAATTCTCGGCAACCCAAAATTCTTAGGCACACATGTATATACCAAAGGCAAATATGTACCCGAGATAAGTGAAAGAATTAGATCAAGGTTACTACGAAAAATAAAAAAAATAATTACAGTCAACACTTTCTAAGTGCAAGTCAATGGGCTAGCAAAATATCTTGTATTTAGAGAGAACTTGCACTTAAAGAAAACTAAATTAATATATAATTAATTATCTCTAAATGCAAGTTTATAAGTTTAAAAAAATATCTTGCACTTAGAAAAAAAAAACTTTAATTAAATAAGTCAATTTAATTGGTTAATAAAATATCTTGCAATTAAAGAAAATAATTTTATATATGCTAGCTAAAAAAAACTCTTGCACTTAGAGAATAAAGAACTTGCATTTATGTTATAAGTCCCAACACAGGACCAGACTATTTAATTGCATTTAGAAAGAAGTTGCACTTAGAGGGGTTGCACTTAGAGAGAGTTGACTGTAGTAAGTATGAAGCAATATATAGTAATAAAAAAAATATTGACAGTTAAATTTACGCACAATAACGACAAAAATTATTTTTGATTTGGCGTAAATAAAAATTGGCAAAAATATTTTAGGCAGCCTAAACTGGAAATATTTTCGTCAGCTGAAATTATTTACGGTTTAGGCTGCCTAAAATATTTTCGGCAATTTTTATTTACGGCAAATCAAAAATAATTTAGGCACCCATCTATACGAGGGGTGCATTTAGGGAGGTCTCTCTGTATTAATTTACATAGTATATTGATTTCTTGATTATAATCTAACTATGTATTATAAATATTTAAGCTTTTACATATTTGTAACATTACAAACTTTGGTTAATATATGTCTACTAAATCAATACAAATAAAAAAAATTAATATTTAAAACTATAAAGTGCTAACTAATATATAATTTGTATTTGGAAGAATAAAATTTGATTTATAATTAAAAATACTATTAATATTTTTGTGTTTTGACGAAGACCCTATTAGAATAAAGCACAAAATCTTAATCTGTTTATGGCATTTATATAACTTGATAAGACTATACAACTATGATATCATAATCTATTTAACATTTACTTAACACAAAATATATGTATGTATATACATTTTCAAAAACGATCCTATTGGAAATCTCAGAATTTTTGTTTTGATCGTGTAACATTCTTAAATCTGATTTGTTTGCGCAACAACAATTGTCACGTAACTGTAACTTTTGGTGGCGATACAGTACTGATCCGTTCGGTATCCGGGGAACCGTTAAAGCCCGGTTCGATCATAAACTTAATTAAATTAAGGTTAGGGTCAGATTAAAGTCCGTATGGATAGGTTTTATATGTAAAATCGACTGCCAGATATTTTTTCTTAATGCACAAAGATAGGTTTAGACATTTGTTGTATTTTTCGCTTTTTTTACTTTTTTTGCTTCGTGGGTTCTACCACAAAATCGTGAAAACCATTTTCCCGAAGAAACATAATACCGATTAAATTGGCCAACATTATAGCTAATGCTGGCTATCTTTGTCGGTATTAGATCCTTTCGGGATTTTGTGGTAAACCCATCTGGATGATCCGTGTAAACAAAAATTCATAATTTTGAGTGGTCAAATCTTGTGATCGAACTTGGCTTTAATATAATATTAACGGATCCCGTATCCGGTAACAGGTGGTTACCCTGACGATCATTTCCATTACCCGACTTCACACAGGATCACAATATACCAGCAACTAATAAAATGCTAACCTAACCCAATGTGATATCGGGTAAATGACTTTAGGGAAATAAATTTCGGGGAAATGAGCGGCTATCGTAACAGGCAGTTTATTCGCTATCTGTATCCGTTTTGATCATTAATCCGTTATTCGTTCCAATTCCTGAAATACGAATTTCAGTTGTAAAATTACTGATTTTGTTATTTTTGTATTTAGCTTTTAATTCTTTTAGTCTTTATAAGGTAGTAGCGGATATTCTGATAAATTCAGATAATTTATCCGTTACAAACAGGCCTACCAAATAATTGATTGATTGTGGGGGCAATTAATTGCAATTTTTAGAAATCAATTAATTGATTGGTGGCACAGCCACAACGAGTCAATTAATTGTGGGTTCACTAATACAATTAATTAGTAATCCTTATTTGTCGCATACAATAATTCATCACACTAAGTGGCAAATTGCAATTATTCGTAATTTAATTGGTTTACCAATTATTCGGCACCCTGGTTATAACCATACAAATCTGGATAATTTATCCATTAGTCCCAACTGTCTTACAGGCATTCGGATAACTAATTGTATAATCATATCCGGATTCAAGTTATTATTTAAACATGAAAAATTTTAATTGGCAAATAAAAAAGACTTTAGTTTGCTTTATAAAGAAATGTCCAATATAGCTTGGTTATAAATATAATACTAGTCTTTACAAAATTTTATCTGAAATCTTCGAATCATTAGAGCAGTGTATCTTTTAAAATTTGCAAGTATTATAATATAAATAAAATTACATATATAACGATACAAATATTTATTAATAAAGTTTATTACGTGACCATATATAGTTTGCACTTTCATAATGTTTACGTAGTACGTACTAACTTACTCTATGTTTGTATAGTGCATTGCATGAGATTAAATTTTAATACATAACAATAAATAAATTTCTACGTTTAGAATAGTGTTCACTTGAATTTATATTTAACATTAAAAAGTTGTGCGTACGTAATTAATTGCCCATGGTCTGTATTCATTAAATGTAACCGAATATGCTATTTGTTTATGTAACGTGAAAGAAACATCCAATCAAATGAGCGAATTTTCACAAAAAACTCCGCTTGGTATTACGTTCTCTGACATATATATAATACTAACTAAAAAAAAAACAAGCGTATAAAAAATAACAGTGTTAACAGATAGAAATCGCGAATTATGATGATGATATTTTCTTTATCATAAAAGTGCATAGTAATCGAGACCTCTATTCCATTTTGATAGATTTATATGTTTTATAAATCCTATGACTCGGACCTATACCGGTTTTCGTTTCATAGTGTAAACATATAAATTTTGGTTTACTATCTCACATTCCTTTCTCTTTTATTTTAAAAACTTTCTTTATTCAAATTTTCTTTAGAAAAAATGTCTAATTTATCCTTCTTCTATTTTATAACTTTATTACTTTTTAATTATATTCATTCTGTACAATGTCAGACTTTGTACTTCGCTGGTGGTATTGACTTCAACTCATATTATACTAGCACTAACAAATTGTATTATTATGGATTATCCAATTTTTTTTACTTAGATTTATCAAATATAACCCTTGATGGGAATACCGTTATTGATTCATCTAAATGGATTCAAGTCGCTAATTATGAAAGTTTCTCTCTAGCATATTGGCCATTTTTAGGTGGTATATCAAGTGATAAATTGTTCTTTGCTACATCGTCTTCTTACGGGACGTCTGCAGTGGTATCTATTGTAGCATATGATACTACATTAAACAAATGGGTGACAAATAGTAGCATCACAGGAAACCCTGGTCAAACTTTTTTAAACTTTGAAGCATGGATTACCGATAGAAGTACGGGAAAAGCCTATTCGCTTCAATATATTTCCAACATTATAGAAATTTTTGACACAGTTAATTATGCATGGGCAAACAGTTCAGTAATTCCACAAACATATCAAACTTATGTCAGCACATATTTGTCAACTTTATACGGTCCACCTCAAGTTTTGTTACCAAGTGGCATAATATTATATTTTGCTAGTGAATCGTCTTCATCTATAATTAGTAGTACAACAACGTCAATGGGCAATATATTATCATATAATATCAAGGCAAACTCATGGCAATTTATTGTAAAGTCTTTTTAATATATTGATGCTTAATTTATTAAACTGCAATGAAGTAACTAATTTTTATATATACTGTAAATATATAGAATACTACAGGCCAGATACCTAGTTTACGTACTGATTACACGGCTGTTTCAGGTAAGTATTAGCAAATTCAAAAAAAAAATTTAAATGAATAATTATTTACAATGCATTGTTTATTAATTATTAGTTTCAGACGGACGCGTTATTATATATGGTGGAACGAGCAACACATTAGCTGCCAGTCCATCCATTGTAGTTCTAAATACTTCTAATTATGTGTGGTCAGCGCCATCGGAAGTAAATCCTATTGGGCCATTAACTCAGCATACCTCTGTTATAGTCAATAATTTCATGATTGCAGCATTTGGTAATTATAATTGTTTTATATTTAAATGTAATATACTGGATAAAAAAAATTATTAATATTTTTATTGTTATTAACTTAAAGGCATAAATGCGACAGATAAAAATATTCTTACACAAAATAATAAAAACATTTATAAATTGGATGTATCAGATCCATTAACTTATAAATGGTCTGTATTATCCATTTATAAAGATTTAACTACGTCGGTACCTATATCACCAACATATGCAATACCTAATATACCGACATATAACGGTTTTAACGGTTTATCGAATCCATCATCCCAATCCTCGAATAATAATAATAATAATACTAATTTACCTATCATCATTGGTGTTGCCGCGGGTGTAATTGTTCTTGTATGTTTTGTTGGGGTTTTATTCTTTAAGAAAAATAAAACAAAAGTGGAGGATTATATTCCGACAGCTGGTAGCAATCGTGAAATGGATTATTGTGAAATGAATTATATCCCGACAGCTGGTAGCAATCGTGAGATGGATTATATTCCAACACCTGGTAGCAATCGTGAAATGGGTTATATTCCGACACCTGGTAGCAAAGGTGTCATCTAATGTAACTTTAGACCTTTATTATTAATAGAAATATATTTAATGTATTTTTAAACCTCTTCATGTATTTTCTGCGAATATAGTGTTAATATTACTGCATATATTAAAATAGCATAAAGAAATACCCATATTTTGGGGTTATTATTTTTGTATATACCTATTTCTGCAAAATGTTATAAATCTCAAAGTTGTATGCTCTTATGAAAAAATTTTCTTACAAAATTTTATTAAAAGTGTAGGAATGTGCTAAAACATGCAACCTATTGGGTAACGTATTTGGCATTTGGTTTCTAAGTATACAAGAATTTTCATTTGCAACGAAACTAAGAAAATATAATATTACATATCTAAAGTTTTTCTGGTATACCAAGAAATTTCATGCAAAGATACCAAGAAAAATGCAGTATTAGTTGGAAAATTGCTTTAAACTATTAGAAATATTTCAACATTCGACACTTAGCATGTCAAAATTCTAAATCAGTGGCGAAATTCTAAAATAGTGTCGAAATTCTAAATAGTGTCGAAGTGTCAAAACTAAATTAAGTGTACACGGTATAAAAATTTTCCAGTAAAAAATATTATATTATCATCGCGCCTTGTGAATTATTATTACTAATAAAAAACCTGCCCATGATATATAGATATTGATGATTATACTTCTATATCATTATTTGTAATTACGTCATCAAATTAAACTACGTGCATGCATATCTGATATGTATATTTCGATTAAAATTTCTTAAAATATTTTTAAAAAAGACCAGTGAAAAAGATGATAAATCAGTGATGACGTAAACATACAAATATAAGAATTAGTAGTATATCATCAATAACATGGCTATACGATAATAAATAATTATGTATGTTGTAAAGACTGAATCAGTAAGCGCGAACAGATTTGAAACAACTAAGTTATAAAGCTTGATATTAATCGTGCAAATAACATAAAATCATATTACTATATTTAATCAGATCACTACGCTTTCTAATCCATCAAAAAATTCCTTGTTTTTTACAAAACAATATTATTTCCAAAGATTCTCTATTGAATTCTAATTATCAAGTATAATATCCATTATATATTAGTTCTTCCGTTAGTTACTAATAAATCAAAATTTTGGGTTTGTTTTTTTAAACAATATTTTTATCAATTTTGAACGAAGAAATCTTGCTAATGGTCTGCTTATTCTCAATGTTCAAAACTATTTTCATATTCTACAGATTAATAGGATTAGAAAATGGTCATAAACATTTAAATTAACCTTCGTTCAAAGGTCAAAAACACAATAGTAAACTTCAATAGGCTAAAATTGATTATTAATAGACTAGTATAATTTTTTGGCCAATCATAAATTTGAATTTTAATATTATTTCAAATTCCTGATTCCCGTATGGTGTAAAGCACAAAATTCACTGTAATTTGAAAAGCGCAGTAAAATTTTATAGGCCGTTATATTCAGGGTTCATTATAAAGAAGTTATCCAAAGTTAGTAAGAACGAATATGTCCAAATAATTTATTGAAATATGAATGATAATAGATACAAGTGAATAAGAAGAAAATAAAATCTTACATTTGCATAACGATAGGTTGCATCAAATTAATTGATATAAGAGGGTCAGTGATCAGGTAACTGATCTTTCTTTAATTGGTGATTACGCTGGATTTCTTGACATTCCGGCAAAGTAATGCGGTGTCGAAATATACATTAGTTAAACATCCTTTCGACTAACAACACTAGAAAACTGACAGGAGCGATGTACAATAATACATAAACAGTTCGCGACGATACCAAGAGCGGTACCGGAACTTAGGTGAATATGAATATTGTTCGATTGTTATATCGAATATAGTAAATATTCGCTTTTTCATAAATAGGTTTGTTTTGGGTCAAGGTTGATATGCAAAAAATAAATTGAAGGATATTGAATAAGTAATAAAATTTTGAAACTAGAAAATTTTGGAAATAAAGGACCCTTCGGACTGAAAGATTTTGTCCATCCATAATAAATGAATGACCGGTATAATGTTATATAATAATTTTAAATTGTTTTAGAAAATTACTCCGTTATAACGAGTGTAGAGTGTATACAGTATGTATAATAATTATTTTCTCTACTAGGTATTTTATCAAAACTCTTGAACAATACTAAGATCAGCATCGGTTATTTCATAAGCTTCCACATTTATAGCTTTTAAAATTTTTGAAGTATTAATTAATTTACTTGGATACATAACATCATTTTGTTGATGTTGTTGTGAAGTTTCTAACAAGTTTGAAATATTATTATCTGCTGATAAAAATGCATTACTTATTTTTAGTTGATCTTCTTTTAATAGATTTGATTCTGTTTTGAGAATATTCATCCAATATTCTAATTCTTCTTTGACATCTTTAGCAGATGGTCGGTCCATTGGATTGGCTTTCATACACTGCATTGCAAGGTCTATGTAAAAATCAGGCGTTCCCTGAGAAAATTCTGGACGCAATCCATTAACAGTAATTTTTATTGCAAGTAAAGTCTCATCATTATGGCGTTCATTTTCAAATGGAAACCTTCCAGTTGATATCTGTGACATGATAACTCCTAGGCTATAAACATCCGATGCTTTTGTAAGCTGGTAGCCTGATAATACTTCAGGTGCAACAAATGGTAATGAGCCATATATTTCGCCATTTTCATTATTCCTATGGGAGTCGGCTATTCTGGATAATCCTAAATCGCAAATTACTGGACGTATTACCGACTTTTCTCCATAACCATTATATACGATAAAGTTTTTACCATTTACATTTTCGAGAATAACTGCCGCATTAGAGACTTCATTAGTGTTAGTAATAAGTATGTTTCCACTATGAAAATCTCCATGGATATATCCAATCCTATGAATGTCGTCTAAATTTACTGCTATCAACCAAAGTAATTGTACCTTTTGTTTCCAATCAAGACTCTTGAAATTTTTCGATAGATAGTTTTGAAGATTCCCATGATCAGCATATTCAAAAACCATCATATATACTTTTTCAATCTCGTGGTAGGTTATCCCATGAATTTCTAAACCATGCTTCATTATATCATATATCTTTTGACATTCATAATGGATTTTGAACTTATATACGTAAAATAAACAAATCAATTATTATATTTGATTAAATATAAGCGATTATATCTTACCTCGTCTAAAAAATTTAGTTCACCCAAACTTTTAAGTGCAACTGTACATGATTTTTCACGCGTTGTCGTAACTTTGAAGTTATTATCTAGATCACCTACATCATAGAGTCTTTTACCATCAATCCATGTTGCAGAATAAACTTTGCTAAAGCCTCCCTTTGCAATAAATTTAATATTTTCCAATCTACCAAAGGGTATCCATTCAATTATTTTATGATAATAATTACATTCACTGTGTAATTTTTTTATAAAATTATCAATTTCCTTGTTTCCGCTAGTTTTCATGATGTGAAGATCACATGAATGACACAAAGCAAATCCGGTATTATATCTTTTACAATTTTCACAAATCTTAAAGTTTTTATGTCTTCTTCTGGCAAATTCATCAATCGACGAAAGAAGATTATTTAAACCCGGAAAATTAAGAAGTCTCCCAGTATAATATGCTTCAGGATGATGTACGGATATTTCATAATTTGAAGCTCTTTCCTGTTTCAAGTCTAAGGCTTTACATACTGCAATAGACTCCCTGTACACATCACCTGACATTTCAGAATACTGTTTATCACAACAAAATAACAAATTTCCAAGGATATGGTATACGTCTTCCACTGTAAATCGATTAAACGGAAAAGGATCCCAACAATTTTCCATTAATTGTACATAGATTTCTGGCAACTCATTTGTTACTTTTGGTCTGGCGCCAGAACAGATTTCAATAATAAGACGACTATCGTGTGGAACATCATCAAATGGTGGTACGCCAGATGAAACTGACCACATCAACATTCCAAAACTATAAATATCTGCTGCTTGAGTATATGAATCACCTTTTAGTACTTCGGGAGCTACATATGGGAGTACACCATATAGCTCTTCATTTTTTGGTGAATAATTTTCTGACAGTTTAGCGAACCCAAGGTCACCAATTTGAAAAGTATCATAATCTGATAAAAAAATGTTATCGCTATGTAAATCTCCGTGAATTAAATTTAAGTCATGAATTCCTTTAAGTCCAGCTATGATGGCGGCTAAATGCTGCAATTTGACTTTCCAAGATGACATACAAATTTTCTGCAAGTTGCTTCTTAAACTTCCACCTTGAGAATAATGCATTACGATTATGTATTCTAAAGTTTTTGGATCCTTAGTGATTCCAATTAGTGGTAATAAACAACCCGATGCAGATTTATACGACTGTAAATGGTATTTCACCTATTAATTAAACATTAAAAATAATATAAATACCTTTGATGAATAGCTAATTTGCAGCCAGAAATTTAAATTAAATACGGTACCTCATTCAGGAAATCATTTATATTCGACGAATGACGATGCTTCAATGAAACAATGATACCATTAGACAAATCATCATAAATTTCACTTGTAGTATTATCGTTATCATTGCTAACATAATTCCAATTATTATTGATAGACTTTTTTTTTCGAGACCAATCATTTGTTTGATGATTCCATTCTTTGATGCGTCCATTGGTCCAAATGGCTTTATATAGTGTACCGGAGTCCTTATTTGCAATATACGTGATTTTTTTTAATTGATCATATGGAATCCATTCTAAGGACTCTTCATATTTTTTTGCATTAAGTTGAGAGTCTCGAATAAATTCGTCAATATATTTGTCACCACTCGTCCAGTTTGAAAATTTTTGCTGAAATCTTTTAGCATTGCAAGATTGACACCAAGCATGATTTACATACGGTTGATTACATACTAAACACAATGTACTCAAATTTAAAGATGACTTATTATCGTTATTTGAACTTGTAAGTGATTCATTGCCATCATTTGAATTTGCAAATGGTTCTTCACTTAGCAATGAAGGTTCATTATTTGATTCAATTTCTGATAATTTACTTAAATCTTCTAATGCTTCTTCATGTCTACCCATTAAACGATAAATTAATTCCCGAATTTTTAATGCAGACACATCGTCTGATTTAATTTTTAATGAATTATTTAGGTCAGTAAGTGCATATTCATATTTTTTCATCTTATAATATACTTCTCCGCGTTTTCTTAAAGCAAACGTATTATCTGGTTCAATCTTCAATGAATTTTTCAAATCCTCGAGTGCCTTTTCATATATACAGAGTTGGCAGTAGGTTGCTCCTCTAATTCTCAAGTTCATTGCCTCTCCTGATTGTATATCCTGTATTCTTTGCGATTCATCTAGATTATCAGCACCTTCGTGATTTACTCGATACCAAATACCTTTGTTCAATGATTCATTTAAGTCCATTAGTGCTTCTTCATACCTGCCCATTGCATAATATGTTACACCACGTTTCCCTAACGCACTCTTATTATTCGGCTCTATTGCTAGAAATATATTTAAATCTTCAAGTGCTTTATCATACGCCTTTATCATGCAATAAGCTTCTCCGCGATCATTTAATGTAGATATATCATTCGGTTCAATTTCCATTAATTTATTAAAATCTACAAGTGCTTCTTCAGGCTTTTCCACCACGAGATAGGCTTTTCCTCGTCGCTTTAATGCGCGTACATGATTTGGTTCAATTATTAAGACTTTGTTATAATCTGCAAGCGCATCATCATATTTTCCCATATACCTCGAAGTAATATTGCCTCTAAATTATTCTGTTCAATTACCAGTGATTTATTTACATCTGTAAGCGCTTCTTTGAGTCTGAATGAAAGTCTATTACAATCTCCTCTAGTGAGTAACGCTCTTATATTGTTTGGTTCAAGATCAAGCAATTTATTAAGATCATCATGTGCTTCTTTATATTTTTTTATCGAAAGATGACTTATTGCTCGAACATATAATGTATCAACATTATTCGGTTCGAGTTCTAATAATTTATCAAAATCTTCAAGTGATTTTTCAAATTTACCTAAACGATAATATGCTTCTCCTCGTAATTGTAATGAATTTACATTATTTGGTTCAAGCTCTAATAATTTATCAAAATTTTCAAGCGCTTCTTGAAATTTACCCGTATCATAATCTGCCTTTCCTCGATAATACAGTAAATCTGAATTATTTTGTTCAAACTCTATTGACTTATTAAAATCTTCATATTTTTTTGCCTTAAAGTGTTTTTTTATCTTGAGGCATTTTTTCAAGAGATTCATTTTCATAAGTATTGCGTACTAGAAACAAAATTAAAAGTAGAATGCATTCTATATAAGCAAATAAATACAATCTCGCACTACATTTAAAAAATGAAGTTCTTTATATGAGAATTGATTCACCCTCATGACTATAAATATTATTTTTTTATTTTGATTTTTTATTTAATGTTTTGATCTTGGCACGATTATCTTTACTGTACTTGATTATATCTTTTTTATACAATATGACCATTTTTGCCATGTTTAGCTATTTCAATTTTACAAAACCAAAGATGGAAATTTTTATCATAGCTATTTTTGTATAATACTTGAAAGTAGCTAGAATTTATAACTATATTTATTTATCGTACTTTTATGTTTTCCTTATATTAATATAATTATTGTCAGGGACGATGCTGAAATTCGATAATCTGATTAGTTGGAAATTTTTATCGGTGTTTTTGCATAATAATAGATAGTAGCTAGAATTTATAGCTATATTTATCTATTGTACTTTTATTTAATTTAATTGCTGAAATTCGATAATCTGACTAGTTAGTTTTAGAGTTATGGCAAAATTTAGCCAATAGGATTCTAAGTATAGGATCGATTTTATTAATGGGTGCTTTTCGAGATCTCTCTTTATTAATTTATTAAAAATGCTGGGTTATATAAACTTATTTTATACTTTTGTAATATTCTTTATGAACAAATATATGATAGTATTGGATGAATGCACCATTTTGCAAACAGGTATAATTTCACGTTTCGGTTAAAGGATAGTCTCACATTTCATTATCTTAAGTCGATAGTGATAATCCCACTGCCAAAAATTGTAACCATCTTCTGTCAGAATTAGTGGTGTAGACGTATTCAAAAAATTACAACCCAGATTACGTCACGGCATGTAGTAATAGCCGTCGTATTATTGCAGCACATGTGAGGTAATGCCGTTTAAGGTATTATATGCCGTAATGTGTATAACGTAATAAAAAAATATTATATAATATAAATTCCAAAAATCAATCGTATCGTATCAACTTTATATAAAATATGAATTACCAAAGCAAAGTTCTTTTTTTGCACTTTATTTATTTATTATATTTATTATTATATTTATCTATTATGTATATTTATTATTTATTGCATTTATTTAATACATTTATTACAATGTTACCATGGCCGTTTCTTCAGCTAAAAATTCATCCACTAATCTCTCAGGTGAATACTCCATATTTCCAGGATCATTTAGTTCACTGGCGCTAGTGCTATTTACTGTAAGTTCATTTTCAAAGTTATATTGAGATAGGTCAACAATTTCATTAATAAGTAATGTATTTTGTAATTCTTCAAAGTTTTCAGAGATTTCTTCTGAATCCTCTTCCTCCGAAGTCATTACTTCAGCAACAGCTGAAATATTGACAGCTTCTCGTAATTCAGCTTCAGTAAGCTCTTTGCCATAATTGTTTAATTCGGATTTTATGTTTGTCATGTAATATGATCTAATCTTTGCCATGCTTTCTAATTTGTCAACACTTAATCTTGCTCTTTTGTCACCGATCATCCATTTTAAAATAGAGAAATTTCTCTCACAGCCTGTCTGCGATGGAGAAATTGAAAAAAGTCTGCATGCTAAATCAACTAAGTGCATGGGTCTGGTTTTTATTGATTCCCACCATAAAGTTGGTGTATCCATTCCAGATATATATAGTAAGTCATATGGAGATAGCCTTGCATCAAAACGCCGAATTTGTGTAATCAACTCCCAACTTTCTTGTTCTGTATGATTAAGGCTTTGCCAAAGAGAAATGGCAATAAGCGATGCCTCTCTAAAACCTTCATTTTTAAGACCAAATCCTAAAAATTTATTTTTTTTAAATAAAATTAAATTTAAAAATAATAAAATAAAAAAAATAAAATAAGATACTTGCCACGATAATGTGGATGTAAAAAATATGATAAGAGATAAATAGGGTGATGAAATTCATTAAATCTTCGATTAAAAACTTTGATTGCTACTTGTTTAAACGGGTTTGTTGAAGAAATTCGATAGATTGCTACTGCAAGTTTAATTAGACAATTAAAACAATCGGCCAAATTTGCCGTGTTACTTTCTAGTATATCAATAGCTTCTTTAATTGGTGTCCAAAGAGTTTTAATTTGTCGACAGGTTGTAAAAAACTCTTCATCGGTTAATAATATAAGTATTTCCGAATTAGAAATAACATCACGATGCTCTATTAGTATCTATATATATTATATTAAAAAAAAAATTATTATTTTATTTAAATAAACAATAAAAATTTTTAAAGTAATTTATATACCCAATCAAATACAGGTCTAGTGCGTAATATAGAGTCTGTAGTAAAGAATAAAGAAGCCCACCGAGTTCGACACCACATATGAAGCTCTTCTAGTCGAATTTTCATTTCAACTAAGCCCTGCTGTA